AAGGGCAAGACAAAAACCCACGAATTAAAAAGCAAGACCTTGGACTTATAAAAAACAAGGCAAATTATTAAAAGAGTATAACAGAAACTCGAAAGGATTAAGTTAAAATGAAAACTTTATAATATTAAAACTAAGTATGAACTTAGTCATAAACTGATTGTTATCTTAAAAGCCCTGAAAAGACCTGGGGACTTGCTATTACCAAAAACATAACCCCCAAAATGGGACCAGGGGTAATACCACCACATATTCCACCAAAAAGGAAAAAAAAGAGTCAAACTTCACAAATAAACTTTCACTGTGGAGCAGAAGAAGAGTTCAAAACGGCATCAACAGCAACAGAAGGCTCGATTTAGTCTGAAGGAGCTGGGACAATCACCGCATCAGGATCAACTTCAACGTTCTCAGGAGTATCAGCCATGGGAGAAGAGAAACTTTGGTCTTGCTGAGTTTTTTCAATGGTCTCTTTTATCTTTGCTAACTCAACATCCAAGTTAAAACCTTTTTGGCTAACCTCCATAAGGGTATCATGGCGAGTGTTCAATATGGCCCAACTTACTTCAACAATAGCTTTGTCCTCAAGAGCCTCGTAGTCTCTTTCCCAATGATCAATTCCACTCTTAATTTCCTCCCTCTCATTCAAAGAAACATCGTAAGAAGATTGTAAAGGGGCAAGCGAACTCTCCAAAAACTTGACCTTATCAGAAGACACACGGAGATCTTCTTGGGTCTGGGTGAGTGTTTGAACAAGTTCACCTGCATAAACCTCTTTATCGTTCAACAAGGCCTTCAAACCTATGATCTCCTCGGTGGCTTTGGAGAGTTGTTCAACAAATAATGAGTCGAGGAGATTTTTATCCTTGCCTGCCTGGTTGGGAGAAGCTTTTTCAGTTGCTAACTCCGATGCCATGACCCTCAACTGCTGCTCTAAGGTACATTTGTTTTCTTGTAAAACTTCCATCTCAAGATGGAGACTTTCATACTGCTCTTTCCAATTATCTGCCTCAATCTGGTTATCATGCATCAACTGCTCTGTATGGAAAACCCTTTTCATCATCTTTGTACCGATGAGATTGATCTATAAAAAAAGGGTCTTAACCTTGAGATGAAAATAGAAGGAAGAATCTTGCCATGGGTCTTAACCTTCCAACCACACCTGTTTGAAAGGTATTTCCAAGATATAACTTCCATCGGAGCAATGGTCAACAGTTTCTCTACCCAACCATGAAAATTGGGAATCTCTTCAACAATTCCTATGGTTGCTGAAAAAAGAGAAGCGAAACAGTCACGAGAAGAGCAAACCCTTTCTCAAAAAGAAAAGAAATAAAGTTGTAAATAAAACTTACGTGCAAAATTTCACTTTTCAGGGAATGGTACATTTTCTTCACCTACTAACCCTACCATAAGAGCAGCGACAAATCTGGCATACCAGATACGGTCCTTGTCATCCTCAGGGCTGACTAAAACTCTCTTACTCCTCGCCACCAGAGTGAATATCCCATGTCGGAACAACTTAGGGGAGTAGAGGTGAATCAGGTGAAAAAAGGTGAAAGGCAATTGAGCCAAATTAGCTAAGTACCTTAGACATGCAACAATCCTCCACACAATAAGGCCAATTTCTCCTAAACACACATTGAAGAAATGGCAGAGTTCAATGATAACCGGGTTCAATAGGGGGTCTAAAGCCCAAAGTAAAAGGGTATGTATATACAAAGGAAAAGCCAGCTTTGTAAGAAGTAATCCTTTGATTTGCATTAGAAATCAGAACTGGGAAATCGAAACTCCAGTGACAGTCTCTACAAACAACAGAAATCAAGCCTTCAGTAATCTGTGAAGGGAAAACATCGGCACGATCATGAGAGGATATAGAAGAAACCTAGTTCCTAATTGATTCTCTATCGGTATAGAAGGAAAGTTCAAAAGGGATAATCTCGTCTATTGTGGGTTCACGAACTGACTCATTGGAATCCCTACTTCTAGCAGAAGACCGATGTGTGATGGAAGCCCTAGTTCTAGAAGCTGAAGGAGGAGCGGAACTAGGTAGAGAAGAAGAATAACCTCTAATGGCAACCGACCCTAGACTGCGTAATCTTCCCCCTCTTCTGCTTCTAATAGGAGCAAGGGGAAGTTCATCAACAATAGGAACTTTTCGGGGATTAGGGTTCGAAGAAGACATGGTTGTACGAGGAAATAGACAAGAATGAATATTCAAAGATGGGAAACTTTTATGAGAAAGAAAAGACAAAGGTTATATTTATACTCAAAAGCAATCGTCAAACAAAAAAGGTAATGATGGGAATGTCATAATGAAACCTGTCACTTCGTGATTGATTTAAGCCCAAAAAAAGCCTCAAAAGGCGCTGAAGGGTTGTAGAACCAATAAAAAGTCACCACATGTCACATGCATTAAATGGAAGTGACATGCGAAGCATCAGTTTTGGAGAAGTTATAATGATACGAAGGATGGCGGCAAAAATTCCCGCTTTAATAAGATCCATTTCATAAATATTCAATTGATGAATAAATGACAAGTGGGGGGACTATCTGTATTGGGAAAAATCAAGTTAGCATTTGGAATTAATTATGTGATGATACGTCAAGACACGTGGATCAATAAAAGAATGACAGCTGGCAAAGAATAGTTGAAGAGACACGAGCCTTAACAGGCACGGGCAAAGATTCAAGAAAATAAGAAGGAAGAGTTACTCGGACCTCTTGGTAATTCGAAGAGACAGCGGAAGAATGAACCTAGATAGCAAAAAGTACAGATACGTATTATCTATAATTAATGAGCATCAATGATGGAAAACGTTATAAAATCTTCACGAAACAGTTACGATTGCCAATTATAACGTTACATTAATGCCATTAATTGCTCATAATGGCTCTGTTATGATAGGAAAGAAATATATTACTTAGAAATAACTATAAAAGGAGAGAAATAACATTTGTAATGACACAGAATATTATTGGAATACACTAATTTACTTTACTTTCTTTTACTTATTTGGCTATCGTTCAAGTCAATTATTCTTATTTATTCCATATTAGATTATCAGTAACCCGAGTTATTCTAAAATTAAGCTTTGATCGAAATTCCTATTTTCTGGTTAAACATTTCTCAAAGTATTTTAATATGTAGAATTCATCTACTGCACACTATAACATCGTTCAAGTTAAGGACAAATATGAAACAATTTGCTAACAACCGAAATATAACGGAGGATAAAATTAGGATATCCGAACAGTAGAGGGTAAATTTATACATTTTTCTGTTTTTTTTTTCAAAAAGGGCGGGGTGTATATGTAGACAACCTACCGTAATGCAAGCACTAGTGGCTGCTTCGACGACTCGAACCAGTGACCTATAGGTCGCACGGAGATAACTTTATTATTGCTTCAAGACTCCCCTTCTTTCTTCCTTTCTTTTGTTCTTTAGTGATAACAATCTTTACATTTGGTTAAAACATGAAACAATGAAGGTACGGATCGGACATGGAGGAATGTACAAGGCGTTTTTGTTTGGAATGCCAAGCATCATTGTCACAAAACCAGAAATATGCAGGAAAATTTTGATGGCTGATGAAAACTTTGAATTGGGTTGGCCTGAATCAGTGTTAAATCTAATCGGAAAGAAAGCATTACATGGAATTACAAATCAAGAACACAAGCGTCTTCGTCGAATAACAACAGCTCCAATACCAGGCATGTCATTGTACCTTGGTCTAATTGAGGAAGTTGTGAAGAGTTCATTTGAAGAATGGGCAGGAAAATGAAGAAAGCTACATTTGGCGTGATCATAAGAGTTATGATGGGGAGTGAGATTGATCCCAAATGGTTAGATATGGTGGAAAAAGTGTACAAAATTTATTCACATGGTTTTATGGCTTTACCTATCAATCTCCCTGGATTTGCTTGAAATTTCAGTATTTCTTCACTAGTTTCTTCTCAATTATAGGTACTAACATTATAAACACATTGAGTTCTGCAACTTCACATGATATTATTGAGTTAAGGATTAGGCATAATTGGCTTGAATTTGTTCTGCGCAGGCTTGAGCGGCTTAATCCAGAATCAAGGGTGGTATACCTACCAATTCCTAGTCCTACTGATAACTGTCTTGCAAGACTCGAGAAGCTCTCGACATCATGTCAACGATTGTCTCTTTCTCTATTTCATGTTGAGCCTTAACCATATTCTTGTCTACATGTAAATTCATTTTGTTGGTGGTGTTGTGTTGAGTAGTCGAAGTGCCCACAATCTGGCCTTGACACCACTGTTATCAACAACAACTATGCCTCAATTTCAAACAAGTTGGGATCGGCTATATAAATCCTCGCTGACTGACAATGTAGCTCCAGTTAAGCTCATTTCAGGACACACCACCATTATCAAAAGAAAAAAAGATTCAATTTCACTTGTGTACCATGTTTTCCTTGTATTGTTCTAGGGGATTTTGGACCTCTTTGTATGTCTGTTAGCTATAAATCTTCAATTTGCTTGTATTATTCAAGTTAATTGCCCCCTTCAGATTACATGGTTATCGCCCAACTTTGGAAGACTATAACAAGTGAATAGTTCTCCTAAGGAAGAAGTATACCAGTAACAAGTAGAAGTGTTAAGGGAATTATCAAATATAAGGACAAAATTCAAGTTGGTTATGACTTATAGGGCAGCCCGATGCACTAAGCTCCCGCTATGCGCGGGGTTCGGAGAATGGCCGAACCACAAGAGTCTATTGTATGCAGCCTTATCATGCATTTCTGCAAGAGGCTGTTTCCACGGCTCGAACCCGTGACTTCCTGGTCATATGACAACAACTTTACCAGCTACGTTAAGGCTCTCCTCCTTGTTATGACTTATGTGTAATATAATTAAGCAGCTAGTCTTTTGTTTACCAACTTTAACATGGCGAAAATTACTACGTAGAAAGAATTGGAAGGTAAAAAATCAGAGAGCAAGATGATCTTAACAACCAAAAACTACATCACAACTCTGCATAAGGCAAAGAAAACACCAGGAAAGTGGATGTTATTTTGATTTTTGTAGAATTTTAACAAGTGACTGGAAGTTTCATCACAGTATCAGCCTTAACAAGGCAAAGTTAGTTCAAGTTGAATAAAAAAAACACCTTCAAGTTTTAATGACTATCCTCTTCTTCACAGAATTTTGTGTACTCTTTGGACCCCATCAAAGATTCTAGCTCGGATGGATTGCTCGGCTTCACCTTAATCATCCACCCGTCTTCATATGGGCTCGAGTTAACCTTGAATGCAAAAGGTGATCAAGAAAACATCAAATAAGTCATAAGGAGAATGAAAAGAAGAGAAATGAAGGGAAAAAAGGCCAGCTCGATGCATAAAACATTCCGCATTCATGCAAGTCAGGGAAGAGCCGCGCCCAAAGGGGTGTGACATAGATAGTATACCCTAATGCAAGCATTAATGGCTGCTTCTACGGCTCGAACCAGTGAACCATAAGTCACACAGAGGATGAAGGAAAGACAACAAGAAATAGTTGGAGTAATATTTACCAAACCAGGTGTTTCAGTGAGCTTTGTGTTGACCTCAACGATCTCGCCCGAGATTGGACAGTTAATGTCACTGGTAGCTTTCACACTTTCAACAGCACCAAAACTGCTTCCTTGTGAAACAGCAGCACCAGTTTCTGGTAGATCCACAAACACTACTTCTCCAAGATGATCCTGAAAAACATTCATGTTTGAAGGTCAACTCCTATCTCCAGATTAAGAACTATAAATGCAAGACATTTCAAACAATGTAAATGGATTTGCTTGTGCTGTAATAATTCAAGACTAACCTCTGTTGAAATGCAGTACAATTTCACATTTTTTGCATTCCGTTAATGACATCATCTATTATTTAACTTATATACACCGAAAGTAAAAAGATTTTTTACACTATCAATCAATGTATTTTAACCTGTAGTTTCCATTAACTCTACCCTTTTTTTCAGATTATTAATCCCATTTTTTAAGGATGGTTACTTGTAGTCGTGTTATAGGTGATATGATAGTGAAAAAGTTCTTTTACATTGTCCGCGCATAAAAGTTGAACTCTTTTCATATTCATGGTTTCCTATTTTCTTTTTTATCATGGTTTATGAGCTCCGTATGTGCTCGGACTCTCATAAAATGTTATTGCACCTTCGTCAGATCCTCCAAAAATGCATTACTTTTGGAGGATCCGACATGCATTTTGTGGTATTTTTGAAGAATCTGAGCAACATATCAGCTCCTCATGCTTTTCAGTATGAATTCTTGGACAAACATGACTAAATCTTAGCTTTTCTTAGCATTTTGCCATAAAGTTCATTTTCTATGGATTTATTCAATTAGAACTGAAATCCCCTAGAGAATAGGCATCCTTAACTTCTTTCACTAAAGGTTTGGCCAGAAAATGTTCTCTTGTCCCCCACCCCCACAAAAAAAAAATAGATATTTGAAAGAAAATGTCATCTGTTGATACTGGTAGAGCAGCCTGATGTACTAAGCTCCCGCTATGCACGGGGTTCGGGGCAGGACCGGACAACAAGGGTCTATTGTACGCAACTTTACCCTTTATTTCTGCAACAAGCTATTTTTACGGCTTGAACCCGTGACCTCCTAGTTACATGGCATCTGTTGATACCATATTAGTATATAAGCAGCATTCAATGGAGAGCTATATGCAAATCTGCTGCCGACAAAGAACGTGTTATTTAAGCGGTGAAGGGTAGAGGGACGAGCCCATTATCTACTGACTTTAAAATTGTGCGCCACCTGACCCTCGGGGATTTCTCGATTGC